ACTGAAGACTGGAGTAATGATGCTGAAAATACAGCTGCGCATCACAGAAATAAATTACAGTTTAACAGATATTAACACAGAAAACAGCTGTTTTAAATTGTAAAAATATTTCACTATTTTTACTGTATTTTTATCAAATAAATGCAGCCTTGGTGAGCAGAAGAGAAACATAAATAAATTTTAACCAGTAATGCACATGAAGCTTCATCTGTAATGACTAGTCCAGTGCATGTATACTGCTGTCCTGACGTGATGAGTTTGTTTCTGCAGGTACAGTATCGAGCACGTCTACAGGCCGAGGAAGCTGGATCGAGCTCATCCCAGAGGGCTGCTGGAGTGTGCCTTCGACATCGTGATTCCCATCAGCAACAGTCTGCTGCCGGACGCCGAGGCCATTTACACCGTCTCTGAGGTCGTACAGGAGTTCAGCGCGCTGCAGGTACCACACCACTTCACCACGTCATTATTAGGGCTGGGTAAAAATATTGATATCTCGATTTTAATCCATTCTCATTTTTACGAGACGATATCGATTCGTAAATCCCAAGAATGGATTAGTCTAGCCTGTTTTTGAACGGAGAACGGAACATTGTAGCGCACCTCGCATCCAATAAATCGCTCTAAGCTTTGTGCTTTGTTATATGAAACACCTCCACATTAATACCAGTTTCAGCACAAAATAATCATGACTAAACATCCGAAGGTATGTTAAAAGAAAGAGTACAACTTTACAGTCCGTATCCTGTCTCATGTAATCGCTCAATCTGTGTTTCAGCCACGCAAAGATGTCAATATAATGATTTCTAAACAATATATCACGTAACGTCACATTTACCTCAGAAAAAACCTATTCGGTGACCATAAACTCTTTAGTCAGATAGAAAAATAAACTGGAGAAGAGCATTTTGCTAAATATATGCACCATATAATATATTCATTATATTTGTTACTGTTATTCAATGTTTAATTTATATTTTTTATGACAGCCACTAGAGCTGCACGATTAATCATTAAAAGATCTCGATTCAGACAACCACACGATCTCATTTCTAAATGACAACGATTCTCCCGTGTCTATTAAACCTTTGACAAAGTCTTACCGGATCATTCAAATCTGTGTTCGCACTGCCGCTGACACACAGAGAGCAGTTACCATGTTTGGTTAAGAAACAGCTTCACAAACAGTCTTTTCAACTACACAGTATTATTTCTGTCGTACAGTCATTCATATTATCCCAGAAATACTGGGATGAAAGTTTATCATTCAGATATAAACATTGATGTCTATGGTAGCGCGACCAAAATAGAGCAAATCCGTGTTTGGAAGTAACTGCCACATAACGTTTGTGTCGATTGCATTGTCTGCAAAAAATAATTACTTAAAAAATGTATAATTGAATGAATCATTTATTCAAGAGAATCATTCAAAAATGCTGATTCATCCAGTAGGTTTATGAGTGAGTCGTTGAATCATTGATTCAAACAACTTTTTCATAATTTTAATATTAAATTGGTGTATTAAATATATTATATTTTAAATGCATATACAGTACCAGTCAAAAGTTTTTGAACGTAATATTTTTTTTTTAAAGAAGTCTCTTCTGCTCACCAAGCCTGCATTTATTTGATCCAAAGTACAGCAAAAACAGTA